AGGTTCCAAGGGCAGTTTGGTGGGACATTTATCACTGACGAATCGTCCTATGCAGTTGTAGATCGTTGCGCAAATCTGAAGGTATGTATTTTTCTCTTCCTTGAACTTAAGGGCTCATTTGATTCAAAAGAATTCCAAAGGATTTTTGAAGGGTTAGAACCCTTAGGAATTTTTTCTATATTGGTCGTTTGATTCGTAGGATTGAATTCTATAGGAATTCTTCCTATGGAATCATGTGTACTACATTTCATTGGAAATCTAGCATCCACTCTAACCTTTTTTTTCATTTCTTTTGTTTTTCCTATGGCATCAAACACTCCATGCTAATCCTATGGATTTCAAGTGGGCATGCCACTCCAATCCGCGTTTTGAGAATCCTACGAATAAAAGAGGGCCTGGAACAGCTCTTGTGTAGCAAACTGCACCTGACAAAGTCTCCCGAAATAAAAGGGCCTAAAAGCACATTATTTGGTACTCCCTCCGTCCGGAAATATTTGTCATCAAAATTGATAAAAGGAGATATATCTAGACGTATTTTAGTTCTAGATACATTTCTTTTCATCCATATTGATGACAAGTATTTTCGGACGGAGGGAGTAGTTCGAATTATGAGGTGGCATTAGCAGTTAATGAAGACAAAACTAGTACATTTCATGCAAGTAGCTTGGTTGGTCTCATCATGGAAAATGAACTATAGTAATTGTCCATATGCAAGCTCAACTCTCAGGATGGAGATAGGCTCATGATCGCATTCTAGGATACCTTTTAGTTTTCATAGTTCTGCGACTTATTTCAGACTTTGTTGAGGTTTGCAATTAAGGTTGAGACAAAAACACCCGCAAAAAAAAGGCTGAGAGAGAATAATATGGTTACTTTGTGGAGTCCAGTTAGCTTGTTGTGTTTATCTATTGAGAACTTCATCGGGCTGTGACGGGTTTGAAAACAGTGTTCACTTGGGAAAAGGATGATGTACATCTTATTTTTGGAAATGCTCGCAAAAAACCTCCCGCCTCCCCGCCAGGTCCGTCCACCGCTTCAAGTGCGTCTCCCGTCCTGGCGCGTCCTCATCGCCGACCCCGCCAACCGCAAGAAGCTGCCCCACACTCTCACGGGCTTCCTCTACAGCACCTACGACAGGGTAGGCCCCCGTGTCCATTACTTTTGGTGCGCAGACTTCTCCATCGGCGCAGCCCTGCCGGTCGATATGTCCACTATTAGGAAAAGGGCTATAGTCAATATGGACATTAATGGCGCACTATGTATGTGGTGCGCAGCAGTGGCGCACCAGATACAGGTACGCCAATAGTGTCCTCATTACTAATGGTGCACGAGACACACAGTGCGCCATTACTAGCAAATTTTATTATTTGTTTATTTTTCCAAAACTATTAATGGCGCACAAGCGCACAGTGCACCATTAATAGTTTTAACTAGTAATGGCGCACCACAACCAAGGTGTGCCACTACTAACAATTTTTTTTTGTTTTGCGAAACTAGTAATGATATTTCTTCTGTTCTAGTCCTCATGAATATTTATTTATGTGTTTATTCTGGTATTGAATTTCTAACTCACAAAAAGTATTGAATTTGTTAATATTTTTTGAACTCATGAATATTTTTAAATTTCATGGGCACTTTTTGAATTCATGAATATTTTTTCAAATTTGATGATATTTTTTCACATTCATAAATGTTTTACCAATTCACAAATGAATGTAACTAAAAATCCAAAAAACAAATTTGATGATATTTTCAAATAACAAATTTGATGATATTTTCAAAAATAAAAAAAGTTACTTAATGGCGCACCGCCATTGCCATGGATGTACTTATGGTGCACCCCTGTGTGGTGCGCCATTGCTAACCTTCCCCCCTCTGTTCCTTTCCCCCTCGCCAGATCGATCCCCCTCCCTCGCCCCCCGCGCCCGCTCTCCACCGCCGCCGACGACCCCCCGCCGACAAGGAGAAGCAGCAGCGCGTCCACCCCGCCGAGGAGCAGCAGCCACCTCTCGCTGTCTCTTCCTGCGCGTGGCCCCGTCTCGCTCTGGTCCGTCCCCGGCCTCCCCGACCACGTCCCCGGCTTCGTGGTGAGCTTATCCTCCGGATCCCCCTTTACTTCGCCTCGATTCGTCGTCGTTTGTCGTCCCCGAGCTCACTGATGACCTGCTGCCGCTGCTGCACTGCGCCCCCACGTGCCTGTCGTCGCCCGCAGCCACCCACGCTCTCTCCTGGCTGTGCCTCGCACGCGCCCGTTGCTGCCACTCTGCTTCTGCTGCTCGCCTGCTACTGCTTCTGCCTATAGCGCCGCTGCCGTTGCTGCTTTTGCTTCCTGCTGCTCTTGCCATCGCCGCCGCTCTTGCACTGCTGCTGCTCTTGCTTGTTGCGTCGCTGCTTCTTTGCTAGTGCTGCCTGCTGCCCCTAGCTACTGCTGCTGCTAATGGCCAGATAGTTGTTTGTCATTCTTCAATGAATTCAGAGCAAAAGAGCCCTCACCAGATAGTTGTTTTTCATTCTTCAATGTACATGTTCAGAGAGCACGCATAATGTTTTCTCAGTTTTTGTAATAGTTCCCAATGTACATGTTCAGGGTTCATAGAACATGCATCATGTACTAATTGTTTAATTTTTGAGATTTTTCTATACACAAGTTCTTTTACGATGGTTTTTATGTAATTTTTGACTGATCGGGCTCTATCAATGCTAGTGTAAAGGGTAGTAGTTGTTGAATCGACATAATGTGTGACTTATGTGAGTGGACTCTGTTCTGGTGTGGACTGTTTTCACAAAGGTGGTTTTATATGTATGACTTATTGGTTTTCACAAAGCTTGTTCTTGGGCTAAGTTACTTTGTATTGGTTGCTGAGCTAAGTTTTAGCATATCTTGTCACATGCACGGATGCCACAAACACACTGCCGTGATCATTTTGTGGTTTTAGCATATCCAAGGAGGTGTTTGTTATTTAGGTGGTGGTAGCTTTCTGGTTGTGTTAAAAGGAGGAGTAAGAAGAGTAAGAAAGCAAAGCATTCTGGCTTTGTGGTGGTCTCTTTTTGGAGATGGTGTCATGCAGCTCCTCCCTGGTTGCTGATGCTGATGCTGAGAGGTGTCTCTTTTTGGAGATGGTGCGTCGCCGCTCTCTACTGCTTGCTGCCGCTCTCTACTGCTTCTACTCCATCTCCTTGCACCCCTGTTGTTCCTCTTCAGAGTCCGAACCTCAACTTCTTGCTGCTGCTATCTCTCTCAATCTATTCTCTAAATTTCAGTGAACATTGAGAAGTGTATTTGATGTAAGGTTCAAATCTGACTAGCACCGATGACAAAAATGTCTTCTACCTAGATCAGCAAGCCAAAATATTTGTGAGGTGTAAATAAGCAATTTTCTCCTTTTATTTTAGCTAGATAAGAACCATAGCTAATGCACTCTAGATATACTTATCATCTTAGCTTCAGTTAACAAAGATTGGCAGAATATCTTGTTTCAAATATAGCCTATGCATGTCTTGTTTTCTTGTTTGAAATATACTTATCATCTTTGTTGTTACCATTGTTCTTTGAGCATAATTCTTTTTCATTTCCTACTATCCTTTTTCATTTCCATTTATATGTGTCAACTTTTATTTTGTCCATATGAAAGCAGAGGACCATATGGTTTGTGGCCTTTTCATCCATACGAAAGTAGAGGCAGATTGTGGTGCTGCTTTGTTTCTGTGATCACATTGAGAAAGACTTGTAAAGATGATGATCATCTTTTACAGAAAACAATTTCTGTAAAA